ATGTGTCATTTACCTATGTCGTTCGTTCGGGTCACATAATACCGAGTTTGGTACGTGTGAAGTTAACGAAACGACTGCGAGTGCATCATGAGCGTAGCATTTAGTCATGTTGTTACATGACACGCATCTCATGTTTATCAAGTTCGCACCAGTATCATACCTTTGTCAGCCATTCACGTCATGTAATACTAAACTTTGTATAAGTGAAGCTAGCGAAACAGCCACCAGCGCATCGTGAGCATCGCATGTAGTCATGTTGTTATATGACACGCATCCTCATAATTATCATGTTTGCAGCAGTCTCATACCTTTGTCATCAATTCACGTATTGTATTATCAAAATTGGTATATGTGAAGCTAGCGAAACGGCCACGAGGGCATCATGGGCGTAGCAGGTAGTCATATTGTTACATGACACGCATGTCATGATTTTCAAGCAAGGGTCTGTCGCTTGTAGTTCGCCATGCAATCCTGGCATATCATATTATTTTTACAACATTCCATGTGAACGATACTGTCGCAAGAGCTGCAGGACCATTGATAGTAAATCATGACAATCATTGTATACATCTCATGATTTGCATGTTATGACTAGTCAAATTTGTTCTTGATACAGTCATGTTATGCCTTACCAAGTTTGGTATTGATACCATTATCAAAACGGCCAGGAGAGCCAGAAGTCGTAGGTGGATAGATAGATAGATAGATAGATAGATAGATAGATAGATAGATAGATAGATAGATAGATAGATAGATAGATAGATAGATAGATAGATAGATAGATAGATAGATAGACGACACGCATATCATGACTATCCTGCTTGTATGTGTCATTTATTTTCGTCATCTATTCACATCACGTGATATCAAATTTAGTGTATGAGGAACTAGCCAAACTGTGGCGAGCACGCTATGAGCGTAGCATGTAGTCATGTTTTACAAGGCACGCATATTATAATTATTAGGTTAAGGAATTTCATTAGCTTCGTCATCTACTCATGTCACGTTATACGAAATGTGGTGTGTGAGGATCTAGCGAAACGGTGGCGAGCGCGCTATGAGCGTAACATGTAGTCATGTTTTACATGATGCGCATATCATGATTATCATGTTAGGGCATCTCATTTACCTTCGTCGCCCGTTTGCGTCACGTCATATCAAATTCGGTATATGTAAAGCTAGCGAAACGGCTGCAAGCGCATCATGAGGTGGCATGTTATCATGTTGTTACGTGACACTGACACGCATCTCAAGATCATCATGTTTGCACCAGTCACAAACCTTCGCCATTCATTCTCGTTCGTCAATGCCAAATTTGGTGCATGTGAAGCTAGCGAAATGGCCGCGAGCGCATCATGAGTGTGGCATGTAGTCATGTTGTTGCATAACACGCATGTCATGATTATGATGTTTGGTCATGTTTTTACCTTTGTCGTTCGTTCGCATCACGTAATGTGAAGCTAGCAAAATGGCCACGAGCGCATCATGAGCGTGGCATGTAGTCATGGAGTTACGTGACACTCATCTCAAAATCATGTTTGCACCATTCACATACCTTTGTAATTCATTCACGTCCTGTAGTATCATATTTTGTATATTTGAATCTAGCGAAACGGCCGCGAGAGCATCACTAGTGTGGCAGGTTGTCATGTTGTTACATGACACACATGTCATCATTATAATGTTTGCACGTGTAATTTACCTTCGTCGTCCATTCGCGTCAAGTAATACCAAGTTTGGTATATGTGCGGCTAGCGAAAGGGATGCGAGCACGTCATGAGCGCGGAATAAGGTCATGAAGTCACATGACAAGCATCTCATAATTATCATGTCTGCACCAGTCCCATACCTTCGTAAATCATTCGTGTCCTGTGATACCAAATTTGCTGTATATATAACGGCCGCGAGCGTATCATGAGTGTGGCACGTAGTCATGGCTCATGACTTACATGACATGCATGTCATGATTTCCATTTTAGGGTCAGTTACTTGTGTTTGCCATGCAGTCATGTCATACTATACCAGTTTTGAAACATCTAATGGAAACGAAACCTTCGAAAGAGCAGCAAGATCACAAAATGTTAATCATGACATTCATGACATTCATGTCACGAATTTTATTTCATGATTAGTCAATTATGCTCGCCGTACAGTCATGTTATCCTATACCGATTTTGTGATCTATACCATTATCGAAACGGCCAAGAGAGCTAAAAGTGGTAGGCGGCTAGATAAATAGATAGATAGATAGATAGATAGATAGATAGATAGATAGATAGATAGATAGATAGATAGATAGATAGATAGATAGATAGATAGATAGATAGATAGATAGATAGATAGATATTAGTTTTACAACATTCTTTGTGAACAAAACTACCGCAAAAGCGGCAGGACCATGAATGGTGAATCATGACATTTACTGCATACACGTCATGATTTGCATGCAATGACTAGTCTAATTTGTTCTTCATACAGTCATGTTATGCCATACCAAGTTTGCTATTGATACCATTATCAAAACAGCCAGGAGAGCTATAAGTTATAGGTGTATAGATAGATAGATAGATAGATAGATAGATAGATAGATAGATAGATAGATAGATAGATAGATAGATAGATAGATAGATAGATAGATAGATAGATAGATAGATAGATAGATAGATAGATAGATCTATTTATCTAGCTATCTAAGAGAGAAGAGGGTGCCTTTGCGTCGCAAATAAATCTTTCGCAAATAAAGTGATGCTGAGCAGGATGTAAAGCCGGAACACCCACCTTCGCCAGCTCCGCCGGACAAACACATAATTATTAGCGACCGTCACAGGCTGCATTAGCCCTCTCTACTGCCAATCTGGTGGTTGGTCGTAAGCGCAGCTTGAATTCACGTCATCAAGATTTTCTTGAATTAAATGGTGCGAGTTATGGTGACTATTATAAAAGAAACCACCGACAGCAGCTCTAAGGCATGAACGATAAGCAGCGTGACAGCGCTGTTTTTTATCAAGCGCACCGAAAGCACTTATCAACGAATCTTTATTTGTGCACATTCACAATTTTTTTTCTCGAGGACATTATGCCTGTCTTGTTCTTATGTAGTTGTGCTTTTTCGCAACTTAATTTATGTACCATACCTACTATATCTGCTTTGACACTGCAGTATTCTAAATGACTCAAGAAACTAATACATAAAAAAGTGGCAAATCCCACGTACAGTGGGAATCGATGATATCTGAAGCACGAGTAAGAAAGCTTGATATGCCACTTTAAATTCAGCGCAACGTTACAAGGTAGAGGTAAATGATGCCATACCTGTCTTCCGTGTCGTGATAATCATGTTTCAATGTGTCGTTCACTTTCGTCACGTCACGTGATATAAGTTTAGTAAATGTAAAGCTAGCGAAACGGCCGGGAGCACGCCATCAGCGTGGTATGTGGTCATGTTCTTACATAAAACGCTTGTCAGGATTATCATGTTTGCACCAGTTATGTATTTCGTCATGCACTGACGTCACGTAACACCAAATTTGGTGTATGTGGAGCTGGCAAAACGGTCCGCGTGCGCATCATGAAGCCATTGTAGCGTTCACGCACGCGCATGCTGGGCACAGCGACACTACGTTAGCAAAACGTGAGCACTCTATAGTCGGACGCCAGGCACGACCTACGTGACCAGCATCCGTCAGCGCGGCCCGACGGCAACCGGCGCGAAATTCGTTCCGATGTGTTACCCAGGCAACGCTGCGTCTCCATGTTTTCATGACGGAGGGACGCCGGACGCGCGGAAACGCGCATGCGTCCAAGCAACGCAAGGCAGCGCGCGCCTGCGAGTATATGGCAGGACAGGTGCCTGGCGTGGCAACGACGGCAAGACGCGACGAAGTGAACGCCGGCAAGCACGCGCACCGCAACATGTCGAAATGTATTGGCGCCTTGACTGTGGCATGTAGTCATGTCTTCACACGACACGCATCTCATGATTGTCTTGTTTGCACCAGTCACATACCTTCGTCATTCATTGAAATCTCGTAATACCCAATTTAGCATATGTGAAGCTAGCAAAATGGCCGCAATCGCATCATGAGTTTGGCATGTAGTCATGTTGTTACATGACACGCATGTCGTGATTATCATGTTTGGATATGTCATCTACCTATTTCGTCCATTCGCGTCGCGTTATACCGAGTTAGGTACATGTGAAGCAAGCGAAATGGCCGCGAGCGCATCACGAGCGTATATTATAGCATGTAGTCATGTAATTACATGACACGCATCTCATGATTATCATGTTTGCACCAGTTATATACCTTTGTCATTCATCCAGGTACTGTTATACCAAATTTGGTATATGTGAAGCTAGCGAAACGGCCGCGAACGCATCATGAACCTGGCATGTTCTTATGTTGTTAAATGACACGCATGTAATGAATATCATGTTTGCACCATTCGCATACCTTTGTCAACCATTCACGTATCATAATACCCAATTTGGTATATGTGACGCAAGCAAAACGGCCGCGAGCACACTATGAGCGTGACATTTAGTCATGTCGGAGCACACGTTTGAGACTACTCAAACGTGTGCTCCATACAGTTTTATTAAGCCATACCAAGTTTGGTATCGATGCCATTATGGGAACGGCCTCGAAAGCTATAAGTCGTAGGCGGCTAAATAGATAGATAGATAGATAGATAGATAGATAGATAGATAGATAGATAGATAGATAGATAGATAGATAGATAGATAGATAGATAGATAGATAGATAGATAGATAGATAGATAGATAGATAGATAGATAGATAGATAGATAGATAGATAGATAGATAGATAGATAGATAGATAGATAGATAGATAGATAGATAGATAGATAGATAGATATAGATAGATAGATATAGATAGATACGCTCGTAGTCGCCGAAGTTCGCTAAGAAATTCTTCGCACTTAGTAACACACATACGGGGTAGTTGGTCGGATGCTTCATCACGATTATTTTTGCAGGTCCCTGCCGTTCGTGGAACCATGGCACTAGCCTTCTTGACTTCATGCTTTGTAGGAGGTAGTACCTTCCTTTGTGAAAAAATAGGTGGAGCGGTAAGTTCAGTGTTTTTTTTATTCACGCTGGGTGTGAAATAAGAAAAAGCCGTCAAGATAATATTGCGTATATTACACTGATTACAGCACACAACTACAGTGAATCACACATAAAGGAAACTTTGTTGAACTGAAGGCAAAGTTACTTATTTTTTATTTTTCTCGAAATACGTGGTAGCTCAACAAAAATTACCTTTTAGTTACTGGTTTGTTGTGTCTTTTCTCACAAAACTCACAAACATTTTCACAGTCATGCAAAAGAAAGTTATGACACCCATTCTACAGCACTGTGAATTATTCAAATTTGTTCGACTATTTTCTTCTAATATAGCTGGTACTCGTAATCATGATCTTGCAGTGCAAGTACAACACTGATTGTTGCCACCGCCTCGTGTGCCTCCAAGTCACCCAGACCTGCGAACCACGCGGCGCACACGCACGTCACGCTAGAGTGGTCAGGACAAAGCCCGTGACCCATCCTTGGGGCAGGGCGCTTTCCATGAAGACCACGTTGGCAGGGCGCTGAAGACCACAATGGTTCATTCAGGTACAGTGCAGAACAGCAGCAGCTGACACAAGCTACAAAGCAATTATTTATTCTGCATAACCTTTTTTCCAGAAGATCCGTTTTTGAAATTCATTTGTGTATGGTCTGCCTGCCACACAACAGCCTTCATTGAAGTCGCAGTGCCCAAAGCCTTAAGACGTCCAAAGGGAGGAAACAAAAACTGGTTTATACGTACTTGCATTGATTTCGGTGAAAGGAAATAAAGTGTTCTCCCACACCCTTTGTACATTTGTAGTAGATGGAAGACTGCATACATAACCATGCCAGTTATCGCATGGATAAAGTAACATTGACGCTTGGTTAACCGTGATACGTATCAATAATATGACCAACTCTTGTTGTATATGTCATAATGAGCCGTAGATACCGCAAGTGCTCCACGCACCATAATTCTTTGCATAAAACAGGAAGACTGTTATTCTGTTTGACTGCGATTATGGTTGCCATCGTGATGAACGGTCATAATTATGGTTGCCATCGTTTATGAACCTGAATGGCCCGATCGCCATTCAGGTTCTACGGCCACTTCTCTTCGTAATTCCTGCCGTTATTTGTTGCGACAGCGCATCTATTGCTCATTTTCTTCCATGTACCGTTTTTCATACTTCAGTTGCACTTTCCCACTTTTTGTGTAATTAAAGAGCCTTCAGAATTCGATAAGCGTCATGGTTAGCAAGGACCAACGTTATGGTTGACGAGGTGGCATTTTTTTGCGTGACTGTTCAAGCAGGAGCTTTAGAACACGCGAAAAAAGTTGTCTCTCTTCACCCACGCAGACGCACTGAAGGGGTGGGTAGTGTGTATGTGTTGCTTAAAGTGTCTCTGTGTTGATGAAGTTTTTCAACTAACGCCTGTGACGTCTGACGTAGCGTCGTATGAGGCAAGTGAACTTCTTTTTTTCTATATTATGTGATGCTATTCTCTCTTTTTCACACCTTCAATTTCTTTTCAGCAATTGCTGAGTGTAGTATGTATAACCAGAAGTTCTCGTGCTTAACCTAGCTGGGCCTCTTTTCTACACTTCTCCTTCTTGTACGAACGCACCGATTCCTGTGTACAGTTTAGTCAATCTTATTGGGTCTTCACTCCGCTAGTCACCCGAGTCACTCGACGGGGGTAGTGACCACAGAAATCATGCAACCTAAGCTGTTGGAACAGTGTTTGAGGGTCACTTTGAAAGAAACTGCCAAGAAATTAGACAATCAACCATCGTATCTTAATGCCCTATGAGTCGCACTTTTATTTTGAAATTCAGCAAGTATAGGCGCGTGAGGAAGGAGAAGCGCAGGCCATCAGCAGGTGTACCTACTCTCATTTAAAATTTTCTTTTCCATAACTTTGTGGATGTAACGAATATATTCTTTATTTATTCGCACGTTTAGGTTTTTCTGTTGCTACCTGTTCGTATCGCACTAACATTGGGAGGTCCCCCTTAGAGTTTAACACTTCACTTCACTTTATTAACTTCAAGACCCCTTGGGAAGGCGCATTACATAAGGGGCGAGAATTCTCAACAACATGAGACTGTACTGGAGAACCGGAGTTGCGTGAAAAGAAAAACGGAAGCAAAAAAGAAAACTATAGAAAAAAGGAAGCAGAATAAGCAATCACATACGCACACTCACAGAGAGATAGGGAGAGGCTAGACCCCTTGGGAAGTGGTATTACATAGGGGCCGAGAATACATTAGTACGCACTTAGCATGAACATAAATACAAATGCGAAAACAAAAAAGGAATAGAGTACATGCGCTATACATTTGCATATCACGTAAGTGAACATCGAAGAGCAAAAAAATAGAGATGAGTACATAGGGTGATGTGTTAATTGAGTCAGCAAAAATACCTATATACCTATGCAATATGAATTAAAAATAAAATAACGATTTTATTGCGAATAGTGCACCCTGGCACTCTCCGTAAACGCACACGGACAAGTGATGGCAACGATCTGGTGAAGCAGGTTGTTCAACTCTGTAGCAGCATAACAAAAGAACGAGATAGAAAATATGGTAGTGTGCATACGAGGGCAGCCCACGTGTCTACGACGGCGGCCCACGTGCCTGTCTCCTTCTTTTCTCGTCCCTCGTTATTGGCGCTGTTTTTATGGGAATAACCGCGCAAAAACTGTGTCGTGTTCGATTAGATGTTCTGGCAGCTGGGATGATATATAGGATGGTTGATTAAGCAGTATGACAGAACTTGTGGAAAAATGAAAGGGTTGCAGTGCGCTGCCGCGTACAAAGAGAAAGCGAATTCCACTTTTAAAGTAAGATATGATTGCGTCGTATGAATAATTTGAATGAATGAACTTTGTGGCGCAGGTTTGAACAGCTTTGAGTGCGATGATGAGATTTGTTTAGTGAGGATTCCATAGTGCAGATGCATATCCAAATTTCGGTCTGACTGTTGTCTGGTACATCAATTGTTTTACAGCTGTGGAGGCACGTTTGTGATGCCCATTGAGAAGACCCAGTGATTTGTTAGCAGATGAAATGTTGTAAGGAATGTGCGTGCGCCAGGATAGATCGTTCAATATGGTAACACCTAGGTACTTGTGTATCTGCACAGCGCACACGGGAATGTGTCTGATTCTGTATTGGTATAAAAATGGATCGTGACGACGAGAAAATAGAACCAGTTTGCACATCTTAGGATTAAGATTCACTGACCAACGATAGCACTATTCCTGTAGACAGTTCACGTCCTTCTGAAGTGGTTCTTGATTCGATTGGTTAGTAATTGTTCGATGAATAACGCAGTTGTCTGCGAACAACCGAACGTTGTGATACAGGTGCAGATGTAGGTCATTTATAAATTTTGAGAAAAATAGAGGTCCTAGGACAGATCTTTGTGGTACCCTGGAAGTAACTCGGAGGGGGCTAGGTTGAGCTAGATAGAGAACTGTAAGGGATTGTGAACGGATTGTCAGGAACGCTTCTATTCATGGCAAAATGTCGGGGTTAACATTCTTTGGAGAAAGCTTTAGTATCAGGCGTCGGCGTGGCAGCTCGTCAAGCGTTTTTTCCAAATCCAAGACTATTACGTCGGTTAAAACATTACTATTGAAGTTTGTGTGAATATCAAGAAGAAAATGAGCCAGTTGCGTTTCACAGGACAAACATTTGCAAAAATCATGCTGCCAAAATTATAGTTTTTCTTTGAGTCGACAAACATAATTATTTCTGTGTGTATGACAAGCTTCATGAGCCTAAATCACACACTCGTTAATAAATTGGAGGGATCCCGGTTACCTGCTTTGTAGATGGGAATAACCTTCCCCACCTTCCATTAATCAGGAATTTCACCAGTTGGAAGTGACTGTGAGAACAGCAAACACTGTAAAACCGTTGTGACATGTGTGGTATTTTTAAACAATTTTGAATTATTGTCATCCACGACGGCTAATGATGAGAGTTTAAGTTTGTCAATTAACGTTGACATACCATCTGGGAAAAATGTAGTGATTGACATTAACACTTGTTGTATTAGTAGGCGATGCAAAATGTGACGTGGTACGCTTTTTTTTTCAATATTCAGTTATAAAGTCTGCATTAAAAAGGTTCGCGCATTCTACATCGCCGACCAATTCACCTTCTTTATTGGCGACTGTTACACTGTTCCTATTCTGTGGTTTTATGACCTGTCAGAATTTCTTTGTGTTATTGACTAAGAGTTTCCCAAATTCCTCACCAAAGAGCGTATTTTTAGCCCTGCGAATTGCAGTTAGGTATGCACGTTCAGCAGCGTAGTATTTTCCTCATGTGTTATTTCTGCATTTTGCGCCGCTCTACAAGCGTTTTCTTTTGTTTTCTTTTCTTTTAAGAAAAAATAAACGATGTTTTTGTTAATACAAAAAAAACAAAATGTTTGGTAGGCACCAGTTCGCCAACTCATTTATTTTCTCTTTGAATATTAGCTAACTTTTATGAATGGTGTTGATTGATATGTGGGGTTTAACGTCCCAAAACCACTTCATGATTATGAGAGACGCCGTAGTGGAGGGCTCCGGAAATTTCGACCACCTGGGGTTCTTTAACGTGCACCCAAATCTGATTATGAATGGTGTAGTCATGAAAGGTATCTCGGAGAGAATGTGGAAAATTCGGGAAATGTTCACAAAATTCATATACGTGTATTGTTTTCTCGTGCTTCTGCCGCCGAGAGGGATCAAAGGGAAAACAAGCATGGATAACCTAGTGATTGCTTTTTTTTTTTTTTGAAGAAAGGTGATGAACGACAAACTGTTTACACAGCGGAAGAGTACTAGATCTAAGTTGTCTTGGGTAACGCGCGTTGGCTCTCGTATGAGTTGTGTTAAAAAATGTTTAGGCAAACGTTAAAAAAATCTCTCGCCTTAGTTTCATTTACTAGACAAGTTACTAAGCGGCGCTGACTAATGCATGGTAAATTAAAGTTTCTAAAAAGAAGGAGGTCGGCATGTGAATAGCGAGAACCAACAATGTTTTTTTTGCATTTTTCTGATTACAAGCGAAGTCAGTGCTAATACGTGGGGGCCTGTGACAAACATCAAAAATTACATATTGCGGGACGGCATGCAAGAGAATAAACAGTATTTCTAGTTCTGATGGGATTTTCATAACAGAGCATGACAAAGGCTGACTAACTGCAATGAGCGCACCTCCGCCAATAGTCCCGGCACGATCTTTACGAAAGACGCTGAAGTTTGGCACATCAATCAACACTTTCGAGTAACATACGTCGATACAGAGCCACGTTTTGGGTGGGTACAAGCACGTTGCTGTTGAAGTACAATAGACGGTTAGACACGTGTTCTCGTTTGGGAAGGAAGCTTCGTATGTTAGTATAGATTATTAAAGGGAAACATGATATTAGGTTTTGTTCGAGAGGGGTCGCTTGTTGTTTGATGATGGGGTGACAGCTATCTTTTTTAACTGTTTGCGATGCATCATCGAACACATATCACTTAGGACCGATGGAAAGAGTTTTAGAGCAAAAATAAAATAGCAGAGATATAAGTTTCGCAAAGTAAAGACGTTGCCTGTCAGTGTAACTAACTGCTGCCGGAAAAGTGTTCACCGACTGCGGAGGAGAGTGCCATTAAGAATGTGCCCATTTGAGAGCAACAATTTTTCTTCTGAAAATGATTAAACCTAACAGATAATGGGCGCTGACGATTAGCAGAATAGCGGCCAACACTGATGCGCTCTTTTACATTTTGAAGCTGAAGTGAT